GGGAGGACAAAAAGGGTAGAGTAGTCAGCCATCTTTGACCAAGCTTGAAGACCAGCTTGAGAAAGATCTTCAAATAGCCTGTAGACACATACATTCATGCATCCCTGGCACACACCATGCATCCAATCATGCATGAAGCTGGAAATAGGATCTATGAAAGGTCTAAGTCTGAGACACATCAACAAGCCTTCTTGGCAAAAGGACCATCCACTGGCTTGCTCCCAAAGCTTGAAAGACTTCTTGCTCTCATGAAGGAACCTGTCCTGGAGTCTATCCAAAGATGCATAAACTTCTGTGCTTGTGCTCAACACAAGCTCATCTTTCCTCAAAGCTTGGGAAGCATTGATGCTGGAGCATTTCAGACAACTCTTTGTTCCAGAGTCACCTTTGATGCCAAAAGTAAGCTTTTGGCTGGCACCATCTTGGATGAAGATGGAGAACTTAAAGAATAGTCGAAAGCTCTCTTGTGGATTTGGGCCCTGCAGAACCACACCCAGATCAAGTGGTGAAGCCTTTGTAGAACAGAATATATCCAGCAAAATAGTTTTCATGATTTGACCCATTTGGCCTGAGACTTTGGACACCAAAGATGACCGTGCTATCATCACAAGCAACCAGCTGTCTTGGTTGCTCAAAAACTGATGCCCAAATTCCTTGAAACTTGCATAGCAAGCCCAGAGTTTCTTTTCAGATCTATTTGACAGAGGGTTTGCTGGCCAACACTCATCACTGTAAAGCGCCAAGGACCATGGCTTGGCAGCAGAGGGTGCTCCAACCTTCTTGACAGTGTCTCTGACCAAGTGGTAGAAGAAGCCTCCTTGCTTGTAGCATGCATGGAGCAAAGTCAAGAAGTTGACTATGGTCAGAGTAACTTGGCTACCAGCACTGACTACCAATTCCTTGGTGATCAGCATTGGGCCATAGGCATCCCATTGGGCAAGCTCTTCATAAGCTGCTTGCCTCATATCTCTTGGAGCATGGGCTTCAGGTATCCCAAACTCTTCAACATTCTCTAATATCTTGTGCAAGGCCTCCTTGGTGCAATGGGGCACTTGCCTCCTGAGGTCATTGAGCCTCTTCAACTTTTTGTTGGGCTGGGCTGGCATGGCTTAGCCAAATGAAAGCCCAGGGGCATTGGTGTGCTGAAGGTGTCATGTCATGCATGGTGTTGACATGTCTTTGAAGTAGCAGTGCATGTATTTTGTTCAAACACACATGCAGCTACATTGGGTTTGGTCATGGCAGCCAAGATAGCCAAGAATGGTGCATCAAAATGGTAAAGTTGTTCTTTTTAGTGAAAATGATAATTTTAATGTGCTTACAAGAGCTGCCATTGTATTGAAGCTGAAAGGTGCTTTGGTTTGCAACTTGCAAAGCACCAACAATGGAACCAGATGTTAATATGTTGCCTTTAGGCAAGCTGCTGTGCAAAGCTTGCATTGACATTGAGCCAGGCCTGGCTAATGAACCTGCTGGTGAGCCTTTGGGCAAGCTGATGTGCAAAGATTGCATGGACATTGAGCCAGGCCTGGCTAATGAACCTGCTGGTGAAACAGCTGCCTCTAAGGTTGAGCCAAGTGTGGCTAATGTGCATTTTTGCAGAGAAGAATTACAAAGAACTGCATATGCCAAATTTTCCTCACAAGCTGCTGAGTCCAGGCTGTGTTTCAGCCAGCATTCTTAGAGCTTTGCTCTGGGTGCACAGAACCTCAGGGCACTTTCTACAACTTGGCCTTGTGCAACCTTCAGGAAATCTAGACCCTCTGCAATGATGTAAGCACTGAAGAGCTCCTTTAAGAAGTGGTCTGTCCTCATCATCCTGAGAAAGATTCAAGATGTCACCATACCATTGTTCTTTGCAGCTATGGTTTACTTTACAACAAATGCAGCTTTGTGGATCCTTGATGTTTACATTAAATTGAATCCAAGCTGCTCTGCAAAAGTACGTGCATCTTGCTGCACTTTGGTCAGGAACTCAGTGTCTGGGAGCCTTGTGGTGTCATACACCAGCTTCTCAGGACCAGCACCAGGCCTCTCTTGCAACCAGATTCTCAGCTGGCCCCTTTCCTCTAAAGTGACCAGCATCCTCACCAGACCATTTGCTGAACTGAAGGCTGCTACCCTAGGTTCCATGGCACACCTACAGCTACAGTCCTTCTAACAAGCTGTGAGGACAGTGCCTGGTGTAGAGCAATGTGTTTTCAAAGCCAATGTGCAGAGCAAGCTAAGACAACAAGAAGGTGGACTGGCAATGCAGAGCCACAAAGGTAGCCTGCATGAGGCTAATTGCTTGGCAGTAGCCTGGAGGAGGCTAATTGCTTGGCAGTAGCCTGGAGGAGGCTAATTGCTGTGCTAATGAGAAACCATGTGAATGTGAACTGGTTTAGAGAATTGAATGTGAAGATATCAATTGAGCAAAATCAAAGGGCATGCTTTTTCAACCACCCAGGCAACAACCCAATCAGGCTGTTGTCAGCCCCTGGCACAGGTTTTCCCATGCCCTTTGTTTTTCAGACCCTAAGCTATTCAATAGCTATTTACCCCTTTGCTTTTTATGCATGAACTTCTTCCATGCTTCTCTTCCATTCAGCCTCTCACCCTTGTAGCTCTCAATGGCACAGGAAGAGCACCCATGAGGGTTCCCACGGCATCTTGAACATCCATAGCAAGTCAATTTGGCTTTCCTCTTGGAGCCTGCTTTGGGTTCTTTGGTGTCTGGGGCTGCAAGTGTTTGCTTGGTGCATGCAGCTGGCTTCTTCATCATTTGAGGATGTGCTGATGGTCTCTTCATCACAGTTTTCCCTTGGAGTTCATCATATGCCTGCTGCTCAAAGTCTTCCAGTGTGTGCTTGGAATCCTCTTTGGCCTTCTCCATCTGGCCAGATGCAATGGCTTCTGGCTTGGACACTGGGAGCTCAAGCAAAGCACTGTCTTTTTCTTTTTCATTCTCTTCATTGCCCTCTGGGGCTGCTGGGAGAGGCAAAGGCTCAATCTCTGTGTGGGGTGACTCCAAATGCAAACCTGCCAGAGAGCTTTGGCTGTTCGATTTGGTAATGCTCTCCACAGAAAAGGATCTCTTCTCTTTGAATGATGGTCTTGCAGCCTCTTTCACCCTGGTTTCCAAAGATGACTCTGAGTCCATATTCTTGGCCTGGCTCACCAGTTTTGCAAGACCAGCCAGAAGTTCACCATTGATATCAATGTCACTCGACACCTTCAGCTGCCTCTTCTTTTTTGACATTCCAAGAGACTCTGCAAGCAAGAGGCTTGTATCCCTCACAGGAGTGTATTTCATTTGTGCAGCCACAGCAGAAGCTGTTTCCAAGTTGGGCTCCACAGGCTTGTCAGTGCCATAGGCCTTCTTGATGAAGTCCTTGGGGAGAAGCAAAACATCAATAGCATAGTTTGATCTGGGAAAAATGATATTCATTTGGGTGCTAACTTTCACAAGAGTACTACATAGCCAATTGGCTAATGAACAAATGCAAGCACATGTGCAGTGCAAGTATGCAGTTTCATATGCACCAAACCATTGTTGAAGCCTGATGGCTACACCAGCACATGCAAGAACTATAAGATAAACCAAGAAACATCTCCAAGCTGAGCTGGTTCAGAAGGATATTCATGGAGCCCAGGCACCAAAGCAGACTGCCTACACACAGCAAAGCATGTCCTGAAGTACTCAGCAAGTCTATAGATTTCCACTGATGTGGGCTGGGGCTCTCCTCTTTGGAGCAATAGAAAAATCATGTACGCACAAGCAGCCTTCTTGGTACATTCCTTCAATGATCGAATGCCAATAGCCCTCATTCTCCTGATCACTATCTGAACCATTGTGTGCATAGGAGCAGTCCTAATTTGCTTGAGCTCTTCCACTGACAAGTAATTGTAAATGGTCACATTGATCTGGCCTTTGTTCACCAGCTCCAAACATCCCTTTGAATCATCCAATGCTCGATCATCCAAAGTCTTTTGTAGAAGGTCAGTCATATCTGATGGCAAGTTTGCTTTACTAATAGCTTCAGACAACCTGACTAAAACTGTGGGTGTCACCTTGCCACAGTGCTCCAGCTTATGGGCTACTTGAGCAGCCATTCTATCCACAATCTCTTGGCCATGTCTCTTGTTGTGGAGATCAGCCAAATGAATGATTTCACTTTCCAAGTCTTGGATTGACCAATGAGCCATGGCTGTGCAAGTCAAAGTGATATGAAACCACTTTGAGCTTTAATTTGAACTTGCAACACAATGGTATATATATATGTAATGTTCAACAACAATGTAGTGTAAACATTCAACAATTTAGCCAATCTTCAGTGTGCTAATGTATTCTGAACTAGTTCAGTGCCAAAAAAATGGATTCATTATTCTTGAACCAACAACTACATCATATATACATTCATTAAGATTTGTATTGATTTTATTGTTTATTGAAGTAAATAGTTTTGATTTCAATTCAGCCAGCTGAATTGAAAAGTAAACAGTTTTGATTTCAATTCAGCCAGCTGAATTGAAAACTAAACAATATTGATTTCAATTCAGCCAGCTGAATTGAAAACTAAACAGTTTTGATTTCAATTCAGCCAGCTGAATTGAAAATTCAACAGTCTTGATTTCAATTTAGACTTTTGAAATAAAATAGTTTTAAGCCATAACATATAGCTAATGTCTTTAAGGATAGCCAACTATGGGCTAATGTCAATATTTTTTAAGTTTCGACTAATGCAAACCACATTAGTTGAGCCTATTCAGGCTAATGTCAAACAAAACAAAGCCTATTAAGGCTAATACCCAACAAATTCATTAAGCCTATTCAAGCAAATGTCAAGCACATCAGTTGAGCCACTTTAGGCTAATATCATTGTGTTTGACATAT